ATATATATATATATATATTGTCTAGGTGTATCTTTGTTAGGTTTATTTTGCAATGTCATTGTAAAATAGTATATTATTCGATCAACATAAAATTAATCTGATATTTGATTCACCATTTAACTAACTAACTTTTAACTAAAAAAACAAAAACAAAAACAAACACCAAATGCTGTGGTTTCAGCTTCTCCATTGTGAGGATTTATAAAACAAGACATTGGACTTTGAAATAATTAACTAGAAAAAATACTACACTATAAATATTACTATATAGTATGCTGTATACAATTGGTAAGTACTTTGGACACAACTAGTTTCTTGGCAGTTAACGTTTCGATCTCTCAGTCTATTTATGGATCTAAAGTGAGAAGATTACATATTTGGTGGCACCCCTCAGTGTTTGTTAATGTTAAAGCAATGTTTACATACTGTTGATATATTAGAAAGAGACACACAGTATAGTACTTTCGCCCTAGAGAACATTAATACATCACTTATCGAAAAGGAACTTGGTCACATTGGCTGGCAGTTATTTCCAGCATTGTGTTAACTTTCAGTTAAGCATATTCACAGACACTTCCTCTCTAAATGTCACTTCTTCTTAACTGTGGCTCAGTGGGTGGAGTTTGCTCACAGCTACGAAAACTATGTGTGACAGAACGGTCATTTGTTGCTCACACACTAATTCTCTTATCTTATTTATACGAAGTGAAAGTTGTTACGCTCCACAAACTAAATATACCACTGATATCTATGCAGCCTTGAAACCAGACACACACTTCTGTACTGTGTACCTGCAGCCGGAGGAGCTGGTTTGCTCGCTGGCTCCACCTTCGGAGGAGGCTTTGCTGGAGTCGGCTTTGCTGGAGTGGGCATGTCATCCTCTAGAGAAACAAGCCAAGATTTTGATGTATGAGTGTGCTATGAATTAAAAGGTTATGATTCTCTGTCTAATTAGTGGACAGGAAAAAATGCAATGGCAGAAAATAAACCCTTTGAATTAAAAAAAAAAAAAGATACATCAAAGAGATGAATGCAGTTTGTTCATGTTGTGCAAGATAATATATATAGATTATCACAGTGACAAAATATATGGTCGGACCTGGGAGCTCTTCATAGATGTCTTCATCAATAGCTCCAACATCGTCGTACACTTCCTGTTCCTCCTCTTCATCCTCTGGGATGATGCCGGTCATATCTATAAACAAGGGAACATAGTATGTTTGACTTATGTACACAGAAACATTTGATTTATCCACACACACACACAGAGTATGTGGAGAGAATTTTGTTCATTTTTTGTTCAAATGTTGCCGTTTCTGACATTACAGACCATAATAATAATTTTTTTTAGATTGAAAGAGTTCAAACCTTTCAAAACAAAGTCTATCTGTTTCACCCATTCCTCCGCCTCTTTCGCTGATGACGCACAAAACTGTGATGAAAGAGGAGAGAAATGAAAACTGCAGTCAGTGCAATATGCAGTTCTACATATATTAATTAACATAAACAAATAGTACTGCATTTATGCATAGTAAAATGTTCCACATGGAAGAGCCTGAATGTTAGAAACACTCATTTAGACTTTTTAAATATGCGTGTCAGGTTGAGCCATTGAAAAGCCAGCAGTGTCAAATGAATGAATGAGGTTTTAAAAATAAAGATTTAATGAAGTGCATGTACACACACGCTGTCCAAGTTTTAAACATGGCACATCTCAAGTCCACATTTGTTTTTCAATTTAGGACATACATTTAGAACAGCAGTCAAACCATCACCAAGAGACAAGTGTACCTGATAGACTCGCTTGTCTGGAGCCGAAATTTCAAAGCAACAGTCTTTCTTTGAGTCTTTCCGTAGGGTGTTGTTCATTTTGACAGTATACCCATCGATATTGAACTCCCCTTTCTGCTGCTTGTCTGGTTACAGGAAATTAAAACATCACCAAAATGGTTCAGATACAACAAATGCAATGTCGCTGTCTGGGGCTGGGAAACAAAAGTGGAATGCCAAATATCCATTCACTTAAATATTTCCGAACAGTATGCAATTCATAATCAACTGCAAAACTGGAATGAAATGAGAAATGAAAATTGTACCTTTCTCACTGCCATAGTAGTAGAAGGTATTGTGGCTTAGAGCACACCATCTCTTCTGCCACTCTGTGCCAAAAAAGCTGTGATCTGTGGAGGGAAAAATAAACAATTATCACAGCATAAAAGAGACAGATCATGTTCTGGTTATTCTGAGGGCAAAGTAGAGCTGTGTATTGTTTGAGTATTACAAAAAATTTGAAAATGCCAAAAATGTCATGTATGGGCTTCAGCCCTGTCTTTTTATGGCATCATGCGTCCTGATAAACAGTCTTATTTATTAGTATTTTATGAGCAGAGCACCCACCCTTTCTGCGCTTCTCAAGATATCCTGCTTTAAAGACAGACGTCAGGTCCTGAGCCGCCACAGGTGGGGACTGCTGAGCACCTGGAAAAGAGAGAGAAACCCCAACAAAGCGGGTTCAGTGTTCTCTCTGGAACCATGATCCTTTCAATGTGTTTTTAATATGCAAAAGTGAAATTTATATTTGTTTTTAAAATGTTAAACATAGACAGAAGGGTTTCTGACTAACTTTAACTTGTTAAAACGTAAAAAAAAAAGTAAAAGTAGCAGAAGCAACAGAGGCTCCACTAACTAGGTTTTGCATCTCTCGGGAGGAGATTCCCCTTGCAGTGTGCAACTTCAATGCAAATGTTCAACTGCTGTGTCAAAGTTGCTTTGTGTGAAAGAGCAGCCATAAAGCTGGCAGCTGCTTACAGCCCATAAACCCCAGTCCCCTAATCACCATTTCACAAGGATTTCCCTGATACTTATATGAAAAAGTAAATACAAAAACTTGCATAGATTCCCATGATGGAGTGTACAGGGTTAAAGCTACTGTATATTGGGGAATGTTTTTTCTCAAGCTACAGCCATGGCAGTAATTTTCAGTCCCCAGACTGTGGCTGAGAGCAATAAAGCATGCTCTAGCTGTCAAAGGGGTGGAGTGAAGGAGGTGGTGGGAGTAGCAGTTGTGCCCCCAAATTGCTTCCCAAGTATGTTGCCAAGTTACAGTTGGAATGTCTCCCTCATTGTGCCACTCAAAGTCACTTTCTCCAGGGAGCAGACCCAAAGATTTGTATATTTTCATGCCAAGGTGCAATTTTCAATACTTTAATCCGCAGCTTGTTAGCAGTTAGCAAGTCAACTTTGGACGTCTGCTAAGTGGCTTGTGGCTTACCTTCGCAAGCATCTTCATCCTTGTCTGTGCGCTCAGACAGCAGCGACCCTCCATCGTTGTTGCTGTCAACTTCCTCTTCATCGTCTGAGTCATCTCCACCTACTAAAATAAACAGCGCTGTGTAGTAATGGTACACGTTATGGTGTAATACAGTGGTTCCCAAACTGTTGTGCGTATCTATGATGGTGAACAGTTAACTTGAAATTTTGATATAAAAACTATATATAGTGTTTTACCAGGAAAAAGGCAAATAGAGAAAAAAATAGAGAAAACTCTAAAAAATTTGAAATTCTGTGTTGGTAATCATCATTTCTAGGAGATGATACATTTAAAAGACATTTATCCTGATATGATAAATTTGACTCATCTTGTGACCCCTTAGTTTCATGTTAGGACCTCTTGTGAGTCCAGACCCCCAGGTTGGGAACCACTGGCAGATTTAAACATTAAGATTATGAAGATTAATACAAAACACTCACTTTTTTCCTTGAAATCTTGTGGGAAACTGTTGGGGAGACAGTAAATGGATGTTAAGAGTTCTCACATTTAGCATTATAATCTCTGAATATTAGTTCAATTGACACATTTATAACCAAAACACTGGACACTGACATACCCCAATTTGACCTCTTTAATCCGCTTGATGAAGCCTTCCCTCCTCTCCTTCGCCTTCTTGCTTAGATTTTCCCCTTTTAATCCATCACAGAGGAAATTCTCTAGATCTGAACAACAAACACCAGGTAGGTAAAAACCCCTCACACAATCCCCTATCACTTACTGATTGTGCTGTGTTTTATTTGGCAGCCAAGTGGCCCAGTTATGCGGGAGATCACCTTACCTTTCAAACAACACACACACACACACAACACACACACACACACAGACACACACACACACACAGTCTGCAGCTTTGACGTCTAACTGCACATTGTTTGATACTCCTCAGCAGGAATGAGCAGCAGGAATGAAACAGCAGCACTGTGGCGTGTTGTAAATGTAACTGGACTGAAACTCAAGCCATCCATGTTGAGCCTGCGCTTCCTCTTTTTAACAAAACGTTGGACTACTGAGCCAAATAATAACACGGAAAGCACCTCGCGTGTACACAACACATAAAACATGTATGGGTATTTTACCTGCAATGAGCGTCGTTAACTCCTCGGGAATCGAGCGCATTGTGGAGACTTGGTTCCTACAGGCAGCGATGGACCGACCGGTGGATGAAACTGCACACGGAAGCAGCAGCAGCTCCAAAATACGGAAGTGAAACTGCTAATTATTTATCACTGACCACACAGTTCTCAAACCCGCCTGTTGTTCAACACCCACATTGACGTTTACTGCTCCCTCCGCTTTTGCCTGTGTGTGTAGGCCTATATTTCTGACTGCTGCTGCTGATGCTTTTAATGGAGCAACGAGTCTTTACAGACTAATAAAGTCAACAGATAATAAGGCCTGATCATATTTTTGATTGATTCCAGATCATATTTCTTCGCCCGCTGTGACTGACTCACTGGACTTGTGTCTTTTTTTTCTTTACAGTGATGCAAGCACTTTGAGTTTATGAATATGTCAACATTGTAAATCTAAACAGGCATCATTAATAGCTGAAAAGGCAGTTATATACAACTGTTACTGTGCCAGGAACACACAGATGGTTCAAGGAGTCTACTTCAAGTCTTTATTCCTAAATCCCATTTTAAATATTTGCAATATTCACTTTATTGCACCTTTAAAAACAGAGTTTGTGAGACTATTATCTCAGTTTGTATTTCACGCTCAGTGACAAACACAGTTTTTTATCCTATCTGATGCAATCAATGCACCAGTTCAGGCAAGAGTAAACAAAAAACTCTCTCTTCTTACATCAAGTGAAACCTGTGCCTCCTGGTGTATTCAGTGACATATTGTTTATAAAGGTGTCAGTCATTCATTAGTCATCTTTTGACAGCCTGTATCAGCCAGTCCGGGTTGAAAGACTGAGTCTTTGAACTGTATAGCCTGTTGTTGTGGAGAAATGAGACAGAAATGTCAGTGCAGCTCTGGAGGGGATGTGTGAGGAGCTTCAGCTTGTACTTTAGCTGCAGGTGGTGGACAGTGTTTGTCAGTGCTGGCAGACACACAGACTCTCTCCCCAGAACTTCCGGTCCAGCAGCTTTGGGAAGACCGACATGCATTCAGTGTCTAATCTTATTTGTCCTAAGCAAAGATGAAATTATGTTTTTACTTGATATGACATAATATACAGCCTGCGGTGATGCCTTTTTGCTTTATTCTTTCGATTAGTGTTAAAATGTTACAGATTTGTATTCAGAGTCACACTGAGAAAAGGAGCACCAGACCTTTACATCTCTATGTGATGGTCATGTGATGTACAATCACATCACTCATTTCATGATGCAAAATGAAACCTTATATCATATTATGGTTTTCCATGGTTGTTTCTGCATACATTTTCTGATGTCACTTCCTGTTCAGCGTTATCTGAGTAGCCAATAAATTCTTTATGAGCCTCAAACCCACTGTGGTCATTCAAAACCTGACCCCCTCCTGACCTGGCAGTAGTTCCTCCCAGTGCGGAGAGGAGAGGAGAGCCAGCTTGACCTTTGACCTGTGTGTATGTGTGTGTGTGTGTGTGTGTGTGTCTATTGTGGACCTTTTCTGGTATAAACACTGACCTTGTTGGGACCAGTAGCCCTCATGGAGACCAAAGACTGATCATAATGCCACAGAACATAATTTCTGAGGTCCTGGTTAGGGCTAGGCATGAATTGGTATTGATTAAGGTTAGGGTAAGGGGTTGGGGTTAGGCTGCCAATAATGAATGAAGTCAGTGGAATGTCCTAACAAGGATAGCTCTGCAAACTTGAGTGTGTGTGTGTGTGTGTGTGTGTGTGTGTCTGTGAAGGAAGGGAGGGATCTGCTGGCACAGTGTTGTATCTAGTTTCCCATAAAGCTCCATCAACTCATCCAACAAATTCCTCCTTGTGATTGGGTCAGTCCCTTTCATCATGCAATAGGCTACATGTTTTGCAATCTCACTGCATGTTGACAGAGCTGTATTGTTCAAAGTCACCAACTCTTTAACATGATACAGATATGATTATGTTTTATTATTAGTAGTATTGTATTTCTTTATGAGCAAATGCAAATAGCAGTGGTCATGGTGAAACCTGCGAATTTAAAAATGTTTTATTTTGTGCTGATAAAAAGAAACTAGCAGAGAATAATAAGGAATAAGTGATCTTTTTTCAATAATAAACACATCATGAGAGAGAATATTTGTGGTTAGTTTGGCCTGTAGACATTGACATGCTGACACAGTGTGGTCTGAGTATTTAAAATCAGCTCAGTGGCTTCTGCACCAAATCAAATCTGACTGCTTCTCTGCCTCCTGGGCTTCCAATGATTTTCCGAGTTAGCTTCCAAGATGATCACAATTAGCCATCACTTAATACCATGTCTCAGTAGGAACAGCAGTTCACCACCTCGTCTCCTATTTTTGTTATTGCTATGAGCCCGACCGCACAATCCGGAGAACAGCACACACCGAGCCCATGAAGGAACCCTGTTGCCTGCAGACTCTGGTCAGAATAATTGATCGGTGTGATTGTTAATCTTGACATTCCTGGAACAATCGTTGACTTTAGGTTTTCACCAGCCATTTCCCTTAAACATTTAATAACATTATTGAAAAGAAAACAGCCACCACGGCCGAGGTTCAACTGGTCGTTGTGAAGAATTCCTTTAGCAGTAAATGGGACAAAACCAGTTTGGTCCAGATTGACATACATTTACTTTCATTAGCACTATAAGAATTTACTGTAAATTGATAAAAAATAAACGCATTCTGCTATTTGACTCTGACCACGGTCCAGGTCCTATTTTTTTCTTCTTCTGTGTTTTATACAAAGTCATATAAAATTATAATTTATAACAATTTGAAAAAAGAAAGTCTTGTGTCGGCTGCTTTGAATTAACCTTACATTATTTTAAATCATAAAAAGTTTTGAAAAACCACAATTGCTTAAGGCGCGATTCTTAATTCAAAAAGATAGTATTACATTGCGGATCAGGCCATAAACAAGCACCCTCAGTGCTGTGAGTTTTATAGGCAATAAAATTTAATTAGAGAGCCAAGAAAAGTCATAGCTTTTGGCCTGGGACTCCTAGCAGGCAATTCTCACTGCAAATTTTCTTTTTCAGGGTTTAAACATGCGGAGACAATGAATTTCCTAAAAAAGAAATCTGCTAAGATAAATCATTAAGATCTGTAAAAAAAAAAATAAAAAAAGAAAGAAAAGAAACTGGGATGCGACTACAATTTTACATTTATATCACTTGCATTTAATTTGTATTTCATGGTGCTCTGTGTTCACTGCAGCTATTTGTTTTGGGGAAGTTTGAGATTGCAAAATCAATAGCGCCTTTATACTACGAGAACATATTAACTGAATATATAATTTAGAAATTATCCTGTGGCTTTTAAATTATACGGCCTATATTCTTCTTATTTGAATATCTGTCCAGCAGTATGAATTATGCATGAACAGAATTCATTTATCTTATAGCCAAGACTATCAAATATATTTTTATGTTTTAACGTATAAGGCATGAAATCAATAAGCTCTCCAAACTTTCTTATTGTGAAATAAGACACTATAGCGCCGTTGATTCCAATCAATGTAAAGTTTTATTTCAAGAAAAATATTCTTTTCTTTTATAGTCGAAATCCATATAAAAATAAACTGTGAAATGTCTTCTTGCAGGAATAAACTGCCCATATAGGTTTAATAGTAGCTTTCTTTGTTTTCGCTTTAACTTACCTTATTTGTATTTATTAATCCCCACCCCCTGACGCTACAACTGAGTATATAAAATGAACAGTGTCTGAATTCAAATAAAACATGTTGAGATATCTCAATAGCTCAAGTTCTGCAGGTCGATGGTTGTGAGTGTCTCTGAGAAAAGGTCAAAAGTTTCGGACGATAAAGGCAGGGGACTTTGTGCTGAATCTGACAAACTTGGTGAGAAAGAGGAGGAGGATGAGAAAACGTGGAAATCCTGCAAAGAAACGTCCAGGCTCGTGGAATTATCATTGTCCGGGCCTATTGTTGACACGCAGATAGGAACAGTGGGTGCCGGGTTTGGGAAATGTTTTAGATTTTTCTCATTGCTGTTCAAAGGCGTAACAGTCGGGCTGTGGCTCTCCCCATTGTGCCCGTTGTGACAGTGTTGTGAAGTCAAGGTATTTTGGTGGAAATACCTCTCCCTCTCCAGCAGCGTCCCGGCTACGCTGCTGTCCGCCTCCTGCTCAAACTCGTCCTCGGGCCCGTCGTCCAGGCACGCGTATTTCCCCTCACTGTCCCGGTTCTCTTTGCAGTGGGTCTGCCTCTTGTGCTTCATCCTCCTGTTCTGGAACCACACTTTCACCTGCTTCTCCGTTAAATCCAGCAGTGCGGCTATTTCCACTCGCCTCGGTCTGCACAGGTATTTGTTAAAATGAAACTCCTTCTCCAGCTCCAGAAGTTGGGTGTTGGTGTACGCAGTCCTCAACCTCCGGGATGCCCCTCCACCGCCATCACCACCCTCTGGGAACTCTGGTGAACCTAAATGAAATAAACCAAAGATTTTTTTTTTAATCACAGAAAAGCTGGCGATAAAAAAAACAGCAAGACAGTTGTGTGTGTGTGTATGTGTGTGGTGGAAAACAAGCTCTATGGGGGGAAACTTGTGGCAAGCAAGGAACTGGGAAGATTTATGTGGCCCGGGCAGAATATGATGGGTCTGCGTGGACAGGACAGGACGGAGGGTGAAGATTAATGAACATGCCAGCTGCTGGCCCGTGTAAGAATAATCTATCACTCTCCATTACTGTCAAACATTAACACTCTTACACTGCATCACAAGTCAGCGCGTTAGCTACTTGATGAGATTAAGCATGCTTAAATCAAAATCCTATACTGGCTTAAAGGGACGCCCACGTTGCACAAGGCCCGGGATGCAGCTACTTGCAGAGGGGGGAAATCCTCAGACAATGAGGAGCCTTTTACATGGAGGTTATTAATCATCTTGTCTTGCCTTGGGGGGAGAAGTAGAGTGGTGAGGAGTCAGCCGTTGTCGCAGAAGCAGAAGAAGCAGCAGCAGCAGCAGCCTGGTGTCTCTTGATGCTTTTCTTTTCCTTCATCCACGGGTACTCCGGGGGTAGGGATGCAGCCTGCAGCGGGCTGCAGCCTCTCAGAGCCTGCTTTGAGCGGCTGTGGCGTGGGTGGATGGCCGGGTTCAGGCTGGGGATGGTCTGCTCAAAAGGAGGAGGAATCAGTGTCGAGTGTGAAAGCTCCGAGCTCTTGATTGATGAACTTTGAAATGCATCACCGACAGGGTTAGTGAGAGATGTCAGGCACTCAGCGAGCGACGGCTGGCTGTTGATGAAACCACTTTCTCGCCCAAATTCGTAATTCATCTCCTCCTTCTTTTCTCGAAAGCTCGCTGATTTTAAGTTAATTCAGATTTAATTAGCAGTTTATTTCCATAAACTACTATACTGGATATAGTCGTATGGAGACCTGTGCCATAAACTATTGCTTTCATGAGGACATGGTTGGAATTAGACCGTGCTGCTTGTCACATGATTGCATCTGCCCAATGACAATTTGGGGTTCAACAAGAAGCCATGATCCCCCCATCGTGATTCAGATCCGAGAAATCGGAGGGGTAACGCTCACTATCGGCGCGGATAGGGGTTAGACCATACTATATCATAACTACACACCTAAATTTTTTTGGAGATCCGATTTGCTTTTCGCCCTCGCACCCCCCCAACGCAACACCACCACCTTCTACAAAAACGCAACCCAACCCAAACGCCCTCGTCGCCTTCATATTGACGACGAACACACCCGCAGACCTGCGTCGGTACGCGCGCTAAATTGTGCTGTGGTACGTGTGCATCATATATAGATTGATGATGGTGTGTGTGTCCCACCCATATGTAACAACCGTCGTTTGATTATATAATAGCCGTGGAATCCCACAATCCATTTCACCAGTCCACATTTGTGTCTCATAAGCACGACGCCCCAGTCGTGATATATGCAAGAAGATCACCAGCAGACGTTAACTACTTGAGCCTCTCGTATTGAAAGGTTATCGCATATCGCATATTACACGAAAAGCTGGCACCAGACATCCAACACAACCCATTAAACATCTCACACCCCACCCCCCCTCCCCAGTAACACACACACACACAAACAAAAACAGCAACTAAACCAAAAACAACACCACACACAGCACCACACCACCTACTAACTGCAACCCAAACAAAAAAAGCAATACTTACAACCACCCAGCAAGAAAAAAAACCCACTAAAACAACATACGTACATCACACAAACAACAAACAAACAAAAACACAACACAAAATATCAAAAAAATCACAATAAAACGCCACCCATGAATACAAACAAAACAAAACCTCCCCAAAAAAGAACAAAAGATGCTTAATACATTATAGCCCCAAAAACACCAGACAGAACCCAAAACAGACCCCAAGGACCACAGAACAGTCAAACCACACCACCAAAGAAGTAAAAACCAAAACGAGACAAACACCCCCAACCGAAAACATACAAAACCGAAACCAAAAGGACGAAAGAAATCCTCAAGACCAAAACCACAAAACCACACCCACCCAAAACAACAAAACAAAACCCCACCAAAATAACAGCCAGAAACAACCCAAAAAATAAAACAACAGCAAACAAAACACACAAAGAGACCAGCCCCGATCATATAAAACACAATAACCACAAACCACGAACAAAAAAACCAACACCAAAAACAACCCGACAGACCCAACAACAACACACGGCAGAGAAACACACACACCGCACAACATACCCAGACCAAACTCAACCATAAAAAAAAGAAATAGAAAAACACGGTAAGACAAGAATAAACAAAC